CTGAGGGGAGACCTTATCACTCCCTACAGCTGCCTGAAAGGAGGGTGTAGTGAGGTGGGGTTGGTCTCTTCTCCCAAGGAACAAGCTCTAGGATAAGAGGGAATGGCCTCAAGTTGTATTGGGCAGGCTTAGATGGGATATTAGGAAACGTTTCTTCATGGAAAGGGTTGCCAAACACTGGAACAGGCTGCCCAGGGAAGTGGTGGAGTTGCCATCCCCGGAGGCGTTTAAAAAATGTGTAGAGGTGGCACTTGGGGACACGGTTTAATGGTGGACTTGGCAGTGTTCAGTTAGCGGTTGGACTCAATGATCTTTAGAGTCTTTTCCAACCTAAATGCTTCTACGGTGGGGCCTGGGAGGTCCCTATGCCAGGAGTGCAGCCCTGGGGCCGATGCCTAGCCCAGCTCCTTGGCTTTCTGGGGAAAACCCCTTCGGCCTTGGAAGAGCTGCCCCCCACTGTGCCTTTTTCATGTAAGAGCTGCCCCCCACTGTGCCTTTTTCATGTAAATCCTTACGCTGGTGTTGCGTGCTGATCCTTGTATACATGTAATATTAGATATAACTCTTGTGTATTTTTTTTTCCACTGCTAAAGTTTCGATTACAGGAAGTTTTCCCTATTGTTATCTTTTTTTTTTTTTTCCAGACCCTTTATTTTCTGCCTTTGACTTTTCTAGGGGTGGCACATATGTATGACATATGCTGCTTTGAAAAGTAGCAAGTTGAATAGCTAAAGAGTCATTTTTAGGAGAATATTAAGAATTACAGAACAAAAGTAAAACATCCTAGGTACGTTACAGTCTATGAGAAGACGTTTCAGTGCAGATGGTCACTTGTGTTTTTGTTTCTTTTTCTATTTAGATTGATTAAAAAGATGAGTGAAGATTTGAACAGAAACCTGGATAAAAACCATGACGAGCCCAATAAAAGAAAGCAGTGTCTGCTCTGATTCAACAGTATCGTCTCTTTTAACAAACTACAGCATTCACAGCAATAATCCATACTCGGACACCTTGATTTGCTACAAGGACAAGGTTTACAGCTCTGCATCTGAGGCTTTGGAGGCTTATATTGAAGATTTCGACTTAAGTCTCACATTTTCAGAAAGAAGCACTGGAAAAATCTGCATATGGCAAAGCACTCCCAAAAAAGTGAAGTTTCCAAAGCACCGTGCTAAAGAAAAACATGGTATGTTTCTGCAAATGTGGTGTTTAATAAGCTTTGGTGTTTGCTGCTCTCTTGTTTTCACGGCCGATGGACTCCTTGTCTCACTCCAAGTGTGTTTCGTTGAATATTCCCTGCACAACTGCTTGCAAGTCTTTATGGTATGGTAAATGCTGCTTGGTCATGGCTAGCAATATTCTCTGTCATGCTCTTTCTGAAATGCTTGGTGGATTGGTGAGAATGCATGATGATCCTCATAGATGCAATAATAAATTCCAGAGTGTGGAATAGAAACTGCATTTTGTATGTGTGAATATATGCTAAAGACAGTGTAAATCATTGCTTAAACCTGAGTCTTGGAAAAAAATCTCAGTTTCCTTTCCAGACTAAGTGAGATCAGAACCTAGTTAATGGAAGGAGTTCCCTTAAACACTGCTTTGTCTTAGAATGAAATTTGCCTCTTATCCATTGATTTTTGTAGAATGTACCTTTGGGCCTGAAGTCTGACCCAACTGGGTAACGTATGTGGCTTTTGTAATTATTAGTTATCTCAAATAAATAGATAATTGATTATATGAACTTTTATGAGAAGATCTTATAGTAGATGACTGTGCTTGAGTTAATTTGTATTGTAAATGCTGTGTCCATTACATCTGAAATAACAAAGGCAAACTTCATACCTGAAAAAGGATGCTTTCCTGGGGTGCCTTGGCATGGACAGTGATGGTAGCATATCATATTATTCAGAGCTTTTTTTAATTCACTGTAGCCTGTAACCTTCCTCTGGTTTCACACCTTTCCTTTCTTTCTCTTAGCCAGACAGCTGGGTTTTAGCTGTGTTTAGCTTTTGGGTTTTATTTTTCTAATACAAACCACCTTCTACTTATGTTTAACTGATTTCCCAAACAATAATAAGAATTCTGATTGTCACTAAAAATGAGAGGCTGTTCTATGAAAGATGTTAGTTCTCCACATTTTAACTCTGAAACTTTTCTGTTGCTGTTCTTTGCAGAAATCTAATTAGCTCCCTTCACGTATTAGCTAGGCTGCATCTATGTTTTATAAGTTACAATGTTCTGTAATATACAGATTTCACTTACTGCTGTAACAGTGGAAGTGAGAAAAAATAATTTCTAGGTGCTAGCTGAGGAAAACCCATTTTTTTTAATCCAAGTGCTTTGTAGTTTCAGTAAAAAAAAGGATTTAATGCTATAATTCTTCCCTGAAAAACTGTCAAGTCTAATCTTACACAGTAAGAGTCTGTAGAATCACAAAATGAGTCTACAGGCCCGTTACGTGGCTACCTGCCTTGCAAGCTGTTGCTTTTAGCTGTGTTGTGCTGCAGTAAATGTGCTCCGTTTCACTAAAGAAAGCACTCAAAGCTGTAAGTGTTTTGTACTGTGAAAGGAGGGGTAGCTTCTGACTGGTAAGGTTTTTATCAAGATTCTAGTTAGAAATGGAACCACTCTTGCAGGAACTGTAATCTAGTACCCCCTGGTAAAGAATATATTTCATCTCTAAACGATTAACTGCATGTTAGATCTTATGACTGTATCCTTTTGGTATGCTCAAAGTCTAGCAGTTCATGTAAAATATCTTTGTTTTTCAGCACTGAATTATTTGAATCAGCCTGTAGGACTGGGTTCTCTTGCTTTGCCCTCTAGAAGGCAGAGTGAGTGTGACCCAGACTCGGTCAGCCTTGCGACAGATGATCTGTTGGCATTTCCAGCAGATGGATCTCTGCCCTTGGTCCAGCATGCTCCTTTTAAATCAAGCCTTCAAAGTAGTGAGTGGAACAGACTATCCCTTAAAACATCTTTCTGCCCTTACCAAACCTCAGCACTCGATGCTGAAAGCGGTTTCAGTCTCCAGGAGGATGGCAAAGCTGTTGCTCACCAGAATCCACACAAAGACTTCAGCAGAAAGAAACACGGTGTGTCTACGCCCGAGAGGTACCATTCTGTCTCCTCTAAAGGAAGCTCGAGACCCTTGTCTTTTGGAGAGAAGTCTAACACTTTTCCTCTTAAAAATTATCCAAGGTGGCTTACCAGCCAGAAGTCTGACTTAAGTGTCTCGGGGATAAGTAGTATTCCCAATTCTCACTACCCGCTCTGGCTTAAGAGCTACAACCTTTTTTCTGAAAGGAGTGGTCAAAATCTTAATATACGAGGCACAGCTTCCCCTTCACAAGCTTTTGAGATCCTGGAGAAAAGACACTCTGTAAATCAGGACAGTCCTAATTTTTTGGAACAACTTGGTTGTCAGGATGCGAGAGATGATAACCTAGAAGGAAGTTGCAACGATGACAGCCCGGCTGCACGCTTCCAGTTTGATAACTCGTTTTCAAGACACACCAAAAAGCTGTTTGGAGGTAACTATTTCATATAATTTGGGTTTTTATGCGGGTAAGGACACGGATGTTTTTTAAACCAACGCTCTCAAGCCATGTTAGTCTGACCGCTGTACAGTAGATTTGTTCACGTCCATCTTTGACAAATGACTCAAAGCACTTAGTAGTAGTTGACTAAGTTAAAACAGCTTTTATACTGCAAGTTTTCATATATAAATCAATATTTAAGCATTCCCTTTAAGCAAAGAATATTTATTACACTGGCATATTTAGTACCTTACTGCAAGATAACGACAGTAAGTCCATAAATATTTTAATAGAATTTCAAGGATTAAATTAAATTACATGAAGTGTAACCTTGGGAGGGAGAGATTCCTAAACATAATGTAAATGAACCTGTCAAATTGGTAAGAAATGTAATTCATCATGCAGTCTTATTCTCTACTTTAGGCAGCGGGAGATATTTGTAACCCGTATCTTTAGGTCACCCATTCATTTTATGTAAAGGCTTTCCTTGGGAATCTCTTGTGTAGCTACCACCCTTTGCAGCAGGCCATCGCTCCTCAGAAGCAGGGGGTTCCTCCTGTGGTGAAGCACCAGCTTTGTATTGTGAAAAGATCAGCAAGATTTGCTTTGGAATGAGGGATCAGCATGAATTACCTTCACTTCTAAGCTCACTCCTTTAAAAAGAAAAATATTTTTCTTTGTTATGCAAAGCATAAATATTGGTGTCTCCCTTTTTCCAAGAGGTGTTCTATGTATAAGCTAAGTTAAAAGGTTATGTTGTGCACACCAAGTGGCAAAATGCCAGATACAGATGTCTGCAAAAACCTTTCTAGTGTGTGTGTGCATCATGAACTCTTACATACAGTGTTATACTTTTTTCCACACAGAAAACTTTACCAATCGATTGGATCAGAACAACCCCAAAACATGAGAGTGTCTGTCATTCTGAGCGCTTGTCTCGACCTATTTTTAAATGCGAGTCCTGTGTGTGACTGTATATGTGATTTGCATGTCTGTGTGTGCCTGATGTCTCTCCCAGGTGTCTGTAAAAGCAGCTATTAGAAAACCCTGTACAAAATAATAAGAAAATGAACGTGAGAACTTACAGTATTCATAAGTATTATTTAATGTCATATTGTGAATTAATTATATTTTCTACAGCATGAAAGCAAAGCAAAAACATGAAATAATCTCGAATGCTGCATATGATACTTATTTTACCTGAGTTAGGAGAAGAAATGCTTGACTATTTTACGTAAAAATGTCCTGGCTAGATCCTTGCAGAATCCCATTTGGTACTGCTGATTTAAGTGCCATACTGCCATGCCAAGATAACCAAAGGCTTGTATTGGGGCTATACTCACTGTAAAATATTTCCAGTGCTAATTTGTCTGTACTAATGTTCTTTGAGTATTACATAAAGTGAAAAATAATGTGGAAATAATGCCCTTGAAGAGGGTTGAACACACTGTGGCCTTCTTTTTCAGAAGACCAGTTTGAGCTACTTACCTTGAAGGCTGCCAGAGGTCTGGAGAGTTCAGCTGAAGATCTGGCAAATAATCTGGAAAATGATGGCAGCCCTTCTACAACAGATATACTAGGAGCAGAAAGATCATGGGAAAATGCTCCAGGTGCTTTGTAAGTTGCCTTTTAATAATATCTCTTATATATCATTGATACACAAAGATACTTATTTCAAGAGCAAAATTATTTAATGGAACTTAAATTGATGGATTTACTGGAAAAGCTGGAAACAATGCTTGTGTGTTTCTCTCACACGCACCAAAGTGCTGATGGGGCTACTCAGTGCCCCCTTGGTGCTGCCTAGGTGCAATATATCTGGTTTCATCACAGTAACTATATCCTAAACCAATTCCTGTAGTTTATAAACCTGTTGTTACTCTCCATTGCATGTTTCACATTGGTTTAGCAAACCACCAGTGCCTGTGTACTGTGAGGACATGGAGAATGCTCTACCGTCCCCGAAGGCAGATATCATCCATAAGTTCTTGGAAGACTGTTTAAATGACAAAAATAAGGTTGGTAAAATTGAGTATTTATTCCTGAGAGTGGCCAAAATACGTGAGTCTGGTGAATATTAGAAGGGGAGTGCCTGTAAATTGGTTTTTCTTCTCCTATAATAGATAAAGTAGCAAGTCGAACTGCAGTAGTTCAGTCGTATTTGAGCATGATGAGTTCGTACTCATTAACTCCTATAATCTAACCCTTGGACACAATTATGATTAAGAAAGCATCTAACTATAAAATGCTTTGCATAGTAATAGTTTTACACTCCATGTTTTGTTTAAATAGTAATTTTCCTGCCTTGAGAAAAGGAAGACTTTTTTTTGTTACTGATGTATTTATTAAATACATTTTATTATTTTATTATTTATTAAATACATTTTATTATTAAATGCAATTTATTAAATACATCAATACGTGATGAATTAAATACTAATTTCCCAGCCTGGCTTGTGTACTGCTGGGTATGAGTCAAGTTCAAGAGGTAAATTAAGTAGTATGTGTCTTATTATCTACGCTGTTGCGCTGGAATTGGATCATGGATTGAATTTACTCTCTTTTGATTATTCATTACTTTATTCCCATTCTTACATATTCATCACCTTCTTGGCAGTCTTCATGTTATTCAGTCGTTCATTTTAATTAATGAACACTTTTCTCAGCTAGGGAGAGGAGCACTGAGCCCAGTGTTCTCGTCGAAAGGCATACTGGTAATTTAGGTACTGGTATGTTTCCTTTACTTTCTGCCCTATTGTCCTTGAATCGTAACTGCTCTACGATTCTGTTTTCCCATCCTTTAGTAAACAAAGCATTACCCTTTACGTTCTTCCATTATGGCACATACTTCTGTTTCCCAGAGGAGTTAATTGACTCAGAACTTAACAATGTGCGTGAGTAACTCAAATTATTCTGCCCGATGAATGGTGCTTCGCTGTATTTCGTGCTTCCTGTTCTCTTGGCTGTGCTAGACCATCAGACGTTTCTAGACCAAAGTATTTCTAGACTGTCCACAAATTTTTGTCGCTGAGTTAATTTGCTTTTTTGATTATAGAATGAGCAGATATCATATAGATGCTAATTATATGAATAAATCTATGTCTGTCCTTAAGGGAGCTTACTCGCTCTGTCAGTTATGAAACGTTGAAACCTGTCACAGCATTACAAGCACTGACAGTCTTAATATGCTGGAATTATTTTACACAAGCCAGGGCTGAGGCCTGTCTGTGTCATTTCATGTCTTCCCAACAACATCTGTATTTACAGTGATTTCACTGACCGTACAAGGGCATAAATTAAGATGAACCAGTGTGGCATCGTACATCTACCATTTATAAACACACCTTTAAAGAACAGGTTAGAGGGAAACACTCCTAGAAATTAGCCTTTCAGGGAAACTTCAAAAGTTGGGTGTGTTAAATGTGCTGCAGTATGAACAAATTCCCTGTGTCTTCCTTTAGGAAAATGCTTGTTCTGGTGGTCAGCATCACAGACCCCTTGAAGACTTAAAGCTGATGTTGTTTAAACTTCAAGCAATTCAGGGAAGTTTAAGCCAGCATGAAACAGCTGAGCAACAGGAAGAGTTTGAAAAAGTAAGTAGTCGGTTTCCTTATGTTGTACCTTGTCAAAATCTGTGTGCTCTGTCCATTGCTGAGAAAAAACGGTAGTCCTTTTGTAGGCTTGGTTTCCAGCCACCTTAGGAAGAGCACTGCCAGCAGATTCGATCCAGTTTGCCCTCAGGAGCATGTGCTCAAGGCCTCTCTGCCCTAAATCCCCGGTGTCTTGCTGCTGCTGCAAATCGGAGGCTCTGTGCTTGGATCTGCCGCGGCCTCTCCCCTTTGCAGCGGCTCTGGGTGGCAGGTCGGGAACTCGCCGGTGGCCTCAGCGGTGCTGCAGAAATCAGTCCTTGTAAGCCAGGAGATGGCGGCATTTCAGGCAGTGCTGCCCGCAGAGAGCAGACGGTGCTGTCCTCTGCTGCTCTAGCAACAGCTGTGCTCTGGAAAAAAGTTCTCTTCTCAAATTGTTTAATTCTAGGCATTCAGGGGCACGTAGCAAATTTTTAATAAGCTCGATATTCTTTATCTTTGCTTCCTTTGGCATCAGAGAGTTGGTATTCTGTGGCACTTTTGTTTCAAAATCATTTCATGGACTTTATTATCTCTTTTTACCTTTTTCATGGTGTTGCTTGTGTACAGGTCATAAACCCTGTGTCCTGTACTCAGTAGGGAATTGAGTGCTCTACATATAGGTGGATGAGGCGGCCTGGGGGAATGGGCCGACAGGAACCTCGTGAAATTCAGCAGGGGCAAATGCAAGGCCCGGCACCTGGCGAGGAAGAAACCGTCGTAGCGAAACAGGCATCAAGAAGATGGAGCCAGAGGCTTCGTAGTGGTGGAAGGATGAGAAACGGGCATCAGGTGCAACAGGAACATTGGGAGAAACTTTTTAACCCAGAAGACGGCCAAGCGCTGGAACAAGCTGTTCAGGAGAGGTTGTGCAGTCTCTGGCCTTGGAGGATTTCAAGATTGGGCTGGCTAAAGCCCCGAGCAACCTGCTGTAAACTCACAGCTGCCTCTGCTTTGAGCGGGAACCTGCTTCCTGAGGGCCCTCCCGGCCTGAATCACTTTATGATGCTGTAAAGTTGTTGGCAATACTTTGCAATGCAATGTGCTATAAAAATTCCGTGTTTTCTGTCCTATTCAGCTACTTTTCCTTCCCTTTGGTAACAGTTTTTTTTGTGTTTTTTTTTTTTTAAGCTTTCTGAAAAAGCAGAGGCTGAATTGAAACTGTGTGACAGTGAAATGATCCCTCTTACTAACTCTATTCGGAAGTAAGTGACCACTGATTTTTCTGACTTTTCCCTGTTTTCAGAAAGTGCAGAAAAGGGATGGGAAATTAGCTGAGAGTGTTGTCATGTGATCTGAAAGCTTTGTTAAGAATAAGCCAGTAGTGAATAATTAAAACCATTGTAGTTCATGGAGCAGAGAAGTATCTAGTGAATGGTCCCCGAGGTGGACTCTGTAAATCTCTGTAGATAAATATTTGTATTTCATCTATATCAATAGGTTAATTCTTGCTACACATAGGTGGACTTTACAAACTTCTCCAAGTCTGATTATTTTAATATGGGACAAAATATTTTCATACTTTTCTTCACTACATAATTTCTAGAAAACATATTTCGTAAATTAAATGAGTCCTACTGAACAGTTAAGTGACTAAAGAAATACTAAGTTTAAGAAAAGACAGAATGGAAAACAGGGGATTATGTAGAACAGAATGTTTTGTAGTGTTTAACATCCTGTGCTAAATACCCTTTCTGTAATAATTTCATAGTGAATGTGTTTGTGAGCACCTATATTTGAGAAGACTGATTAAAATTTCAGTTCCAAAAAGTGTTTTATCTTTTCAAAACCAACATCTTGGTGTATTTTATAATCTCTAAAAGTGGAATTAGACATGGAGATGTAAACTGTATATAATACCATCCAAACTGTGAAGCTGCTTGTAAGAAATGAACATCATTTTGTGTTAAGTGTAAATAGTCATACATACACTGTTGTTAAAGTCTTCTGTTTTTTCCCAATCTAGGGCATTACACCATTTGTCCCGTCTTAAAAGTCTTGTTGAAGATAATGGTGACCAACAAGAGCAGCCTGATGATGGTGAAGATAAACAAGAAAAAACCCCTGATCTATGAAGCTGATACCTAAGACTGTTTTAATATTGTGCAATTTAATTTGTCGGCCCAGCCGCTGGTCCAAATTTTTTTTGGAAAGCTGAACCAGTGCGTGTTCTCAAATGTTGCATCCAGCGTTTCTGTACATACTTGCTCTTTTCATTAATTACTTCAAAGATGAATTGAGTATTAGCACTGCCAGTAGCATCCAACAATGTGACGAGAGATGCCGCTCTTTAAAGAATATTGAATTAAAATAACGTGAACGTTCATGGAAGAATCTCTGTGTGTTTATAAAAATTTACAAAAAACCTAAACTATATGGTCAATTCTGGTCCTCGCTTCATTCCATGGCCTATTACAGGCAGGGGGAGCTCAATATCATGTGTAAAGTGAAGCAGTAAGGTTTAGCAATAACATAATTGCATAATATTTTCAGGGCTGTTCTTTCTAACAGTGGTTGAGTTGATGTAATTGTATGCTCCTTGTTCCCTGACCGCAAACTTGCCAAATATATTATATCAAAAAGTGGCTGAAGTCTTTTAGAGTTGTCCCCCTTTCACCTCCTGGTAAAACCTGGCTCTTTGGGGAGAGGAGGCTCTTGTTGAGGCATCCTCTTCAGGGGCACAGGATGGTTCAGCTGGGCTGATCCCACAGCTGGTTCTTGCTGTTACTGGGATGTCCTAGCTCCCTTCCAGGTTCCTTGGCTTTGTTCTTTGCTTTAGAGCAGATAAAATCCTTCAGTGGGCCTAAATAGGCAGAGAAGTAATAGAATATATATATTTTTTTCAGCATAATTGCCTAGAATTAGCTTGTCAAAGCCCCTGATAAACACCGGGACATGTGCAGGGGAGAGGGGCAACAGCGAATTGAGAGACAAAGAGAAAAGCTGTAAGTAGTAATTTGAGTTTTGAATTGGAATGTATTGACAGAACACTTTGAAAGAAGCCTTTTGTACCTCTTCTGAGGCTTGTAGAGTGTAGCCTAGTGTTGCATGCTGTTGGTAAACAAACCATGTATGGCAACGTGCCTTTCTAGTGAACTGTTTCCTTTTAATCTGGATATTTATAGGTACATATGAGAAAGCAGCTGTCTGAGCATGTGCTGATTCTGAGAAATTAAATAGAAACCAGACGAAAAAGTAGACAGAAGATTAGCTACGTATTTCTCCCATCTTCCTGTTAAGAATTAGTAAGTAAAGAGATAATAGTGACTTCATTTTATGACTGTTGTGGCATCATGAGAGCATAATTAGATCATAAGTGATACACAATAACATATTTTGGACAGGTTTTATTGGCCTTTCTCAAAGGCAGGGAGCTACACCTGAAATGAGAGCACAGAAGATGAAGCGACACCTCTAGAAAACTTTCTTGTAGAAGCTTTGATGAAGCATGAACGTACAAACCAACTGGCACTGCCGGTACGGCTCCAGTCTGCATTAAGACAGGATCTGTGTGCCGGAGGTCACTTTGTCGCGGGAATTCACATGTGCAAGGGAAGATGAGGGTTTTTCCCTGATACAGCGCGTGTCCGAGCGTGGATCAGGGTGAATCTGGTCCGGGTGCTGCGCAGAGCCTGTGCGTGCTGCAGCGTTGGAGCTCCGACAGCTCAGGCTCAGCACAACTCGTGTGGCACTGCCCGAGCTGTCGGAGCTCTCCTGTTTCTGAAGGGGCTTGCGCCTGTAGAGCTCATGGGAGGAAGGCAGGTGGAGGTGTCCGGGTGTACCAGTGCACCTTGGGGTGCTGGTGGCGCCAGGAAGGTGGGCTCAAAGCAAGACTTGAGATCACTGCGAGGTTCTGCCATGCTCCCCTTGTATCCTGCTTGCAGGGGTGCGTAGGCCAAAGGTAAAGCTCCCCCTGGTCCCTTGGGACTTCTCTTGACGTTAGGGCAGAGTTCTTGTACTAGTTAGAAGCTTTTTCATCAGTTCCCCCATGGAGAATCCTCATACCTATCCATATTTGTGAAATTCCTCATTCTTCAGAGGGGTTTTTTTTTTATTGGCTTCCAGATATTTCTCCTTTATCACTTAATGTACTTTGATGGAGAATTTCAGCACAGCTTTTTGGGCTTTTATGGCACACAGACCTAGATAAAAAATAAAAATACTGTTTGCATTATTGAATATTCATATTTACTAACTTTATATTGGGGTTTATGGCACCCAGGCCTAGATAAGAACTAAAAATACTGTTTACATTATTGAACATACATCTTTACTAACTTTATATTGGCCAGGTGTGAAAGGCTTTGATCGTGCCTCAGGTCCACTCTGTGAGGTACTGTGCTGCACAAGGTAAAAGGACCTTAAGCACATGAAACCAAGCAGAGAGTAAGTGACACTTTCTGGTTGGAATCAATAGAAAGTCCAATAAGACTAGAATAAAATTTAAAAATGCCAATAAAACACCATTAGTAAGTGGAGACAACTGGTTTCACATAAAAGTAATGTTTTTAAATGCTGTCAAGATTTTTATGGCCCTTAAAGAGTATTTTAAAAGAGGGATTTGATCCCATATATAGCGACAGAAAAAACTTTTCATTTGTATACACTGGGCAGTTCTTGCAATTATATCTAGAATTTTGTTTGCTTGTAAGTTAGAACAAAGAGGTTGCCACTCAGGGAAAACAGAGGAATACACAGATCAAGAACTAAACAGAAGTAATTGCTACATCCAAGATGTCAGTGATGTTCTTGTCCTTGAGGCTTGATCAAAGAACAGGAATTTTATCAACTACGGACTTCTGTATTGACAGTGGGAAAAACAAAAGGGCAGGACAAAGACAGACCAGGATTTGGAGGAAATACTAAAGTAAAATAGCAGGACTAGATATGAGGAAGGTCACAGTTTGTCTGCAAGTTACAAGAATTGTTTGCTAAGGACATACATAAATATTTGTGATTCTATGTATTTGCATATACAGGAAATCTTTCGTGAGGAGGGCACTTCCTGAATTACGGTGTATATATATCAGTAAAGCGGAGCTGAGGGAAGTAGAGGCTTTGATGAAGACGAGCACTGTGCTTTTTCGTCTGGTGAAGATCCTATCTGTGGTAAGGCTGTGGCTTGGCATGGTGGGAGGGAAGTAGGTGGGAGTTTTTGTCTCGGGATTTTTGCCCTTTAAAGGCTTAATGAGAGAGTCCATTGTGACACTGGTCTTGACGTGGAGTGGCTGTAGGCTGCAGTTGTCTTCTGCTCTGTGACAGTCCGTTAGCAAATCTCTCTCCATCGCCACTTCCACACTGATGCAAAAAGGTGCTGATACAGGAAAGCTTAAATTCAGGCTCCAGATGTCATGAAGACTAACGGTGCTGCCAGCAGAGTTTGTACCTGGTTTAGTCTGAAAAGGAGGATCTGAAAAACTGCAAACCCCATGGCCACTCATTAGCAACCTGTTAATTGTTTTCCTGTGTAACTCTGATACTGCCAGAGCAGTTGCATTTGTTTTCCAAGAGATGCTTATGGATTCTCACATGTAAATATCTGGAATTGTGAAACCCTCGAAATCATGATGTGTATTCTCTTTCTTGTTGATCATGGATTCTGTCACTTACCATGGTTTTTAATTTTTGTGTCTTTACTCAAAATATTTGGTCAACTTCACAGCTGGTAGATCTCTCGCCGTGCAGAGAGAATTGCTGTTCAAAGGGAAATGAGAAAAACTTTTCATTAATTTGAATCAACCTGATTCTTCTGTGGCCAATTTGAGTGGCTGAGCTTTCACAGCTCTTCCAGAACAGAAGAGAAAGGACTGCTGAGGAGAGATGGCCTCTATCTCATAAGGAAAAAGAAGTGCTTCTCTAAGTTTTGGATTACCAACTTAGGAAGGAAGGCTTTAAGCTAGAATTAATGGGGACTGGAGATAAAAGAATGTGAGTGTTATCAGTGGAAAGGTGACCAGAGGAGGTGGCTCCTGAAGAAAAAGGGAGGGAAAACATGTTTCTCTGAATATTTACCTTTGTATCGAAGTCTAGGATATAGAGGGAGATATTCAGTTAAAAGTATCTTTATAACAGTATAAGGAGAAAAAAGCCTGAGTACCATGTTGAGAACCTACCATTAAGACCACTAAACCCAGAAGGATAAGAAGGAAAGAACATTTTTCTAAACAACTGACAGGATAATTTGCCTTGAGGAGATATTACTGACTCAAATATTTGTTGGGAAAAATAAATTGAATACAGAGTATCCAGGGTATTTTTAGACTAGGATGATGTCAGGTTTTGATACAGAAGGTGAAGGTTCATACAAGAATTTTCTTACAGGGTTTTCAAGATTTTTGTGATGGAAAAGAGGAAGAATAGAAAAAAGCAACTACGAGAAATTCAAAGATCTGTTGGCAAAATCCTATGAAAAAAAAGTCTAGGAAAAAGGTGCTCAGGAGTTTGGCAGTTCATAAAAATACATGTAGCGTTGCAGTATATCCTAATGTGGAGCAGTGAAAATAAATGTAGTATGTCTTGTAGTCCCCAGTGGTCTTCAAGGAGGAAGCGTAACAGAAGTAGCTGGACTTGTCCCTAAAGATGAGTCACCTTGGACTTTGGTGCTTTTTGGAAAGTCCAAAGCACAAAACTGAGGGTCAAGGAGGAAGAGCTGTCAAAAATAATAAAGTAACCCCAAAGTTCCTTATTGGTTATGACAGTAAACAGTAAGTCCCTTACTGATTTAAGGGAGGACCAAGGAAAATTTTGGTCCATGACCTCCCTGCAGAGAGTAATAAATGATGTCAGTGAAGGTATAACATTTACTTAAAGCATCAGCGGTGATGGGTGGTGGATAAAGCTCAGATTACGACAGGGAAAATGTGATTGAAGCTTAAGCAAGCTACCTGCGTTGAGTGGACTGCGCCTGCCAGCATCAACACTGAGCTCTTGGAGAAAGGGCTGAAGATATCTTCGGGTTCTCCGTAACGCTTAGAACTCAGGGCGGTCCCGTAAGGGTCTAGAAATGGGACCTGCAAAGGAACTTTTAACAAAAAGTCAGCTAAACGATGCCAAAGAATTATAGGGCAATAAACTTAATCTCAGTTTCCTAGAAGTTCAGAAGTACATAGTCAAACATGGACTAGATCAAGGAAATGAGGAGTGGGAAAAAAAGAGAGGTGTCATTGCAAACACTATGTATTACACAAACCTGGCTTCTTTATTTATGACTGGGTAGCAACATTTAAGACTGGTGTGCTTCCAAACAAGGAGTCATAGCCTACATTGAATTATTTTTAGGGAAGTGGAACGATGAGTAGACAACAGTACTTGGGGAGTAGTTAACCACGGAGCTGTTCTTTATTTTCATAACGTGGTGGAGTCAGAGAAGATCCAGAGGAGAGTGACTGAAATGATTGTGGAGACAGAAGAGCTGCCTAATAGGGAGAGACTAAAAGGGCTCAGACGTTCAGCTTGGAGAGGGGAACGTGTGTTTGACGTTGCTCAAATCCCACAGTACAGAAACACAGGGAGCCTTGAAGGAGCTGGGAGGGGATGTGGTGTTGGTCTCACCTAGTCGGGCATTTCTTGTGGAGTTAGGTCCATGGCGGGAGGGTAAAATGTGACAGTTCCGTTGCAGCAAGGGTGATTTAGGCTTGTGAAAACCTTTTTAACAATAACAACGTGTAAGCAGGGAAATGGGTTGCCAAAGAAGTTCGGGGACCTCAACGGTTTTTGTGGTTGTAAAAGTAGATTACACAACCAGGCAAACCTGCAATTTAAATATATGGGGTCCTTCGCACAGGGGAAGGGACTAGATGATCTCTGCTTTGTTTTTCCCCAAGTGTTTGATGGTTCAGACTCTACCTCATTGTCATGGTGTGTCTGAGGGTTCATGTGATACATTCAGTCTGAATGTGGAAATGGTCAGACCTTTCTGCTGCAGTTTAGTGAAGAAGAGATTTTGTATTGCATCACGTTTCTGTGCAGTGGTACTGCACTAAATGCCATTTAGTGTTACTGTGCAGAAGATGAGTCACTTCCCTGGACTCTGTAACATAACTGAGCACATACTGGAATTAACATTCTTCTGTTTCAATGTTTTTCTTGTCTTCCGTGGACTGATCTATTTCAGCTTTACTGAATGGATAACCAGGCCTTTGAAATGCATGGAGAGACCATACGGAGTCCTTCAAAAGGAAAGGAGTGGCCAAGGAAAGAGGTACCAGCCATCTTCTGTTACAGAACATTATTAGCAGAGTCAGTCTGAAGAATAAACCCTTATTTTGTAATGTGACCTAATGCTGTACTACTCTCAAGAAGATTCAGAAGAAAGTAAAACCTCTAAGGTCCTAAAACGCGTGGCTCCACGTGCACTAGCTAGGATCAGAACTGTGAGACAGCGTTCCCTGGCCCCACTTAATAGCTAAGTTCTTTATCCTCTAACTGCTGGCCAAAGTAATTATCTTTGGAGGATTCCCCAATGGTTTTAACAGAAAGAGCTACTTAAAAGCTCATCTTGTGGTAATGTTGAGTATCTCCGCTGAGTTACACACTAGAGCACTGTTTCCTCTTTTCTTTTTTGCCCTTGAGAAAAGTCATTCTCTGCAATTTTCCCATTAAAGTTTTTGCTTCTTGGGATTTGAATTAACTCCCTGCAATAAGAGCTGGCACATCGCTGCGTTGGTTTGCAGTCAGCACCGCGCTGCTCCTTGGCTCTGAGCACACCGGGGCTGGCGACTTCCTCGCAGCGTAACTCGCTCCGCGCAGTCGTGCTGGGGTTGAATGTGCGGCGTTAGCTGTTATTATTGTGTCATATGTTCAGTGTTCTTTTGACTTTAAAAATAATTACTGAATTGGTGCCACTGCTGTGAAAATGCTGTAAATTAAAGGTCCTTCAGCTGTGGAAAATGGGGGTTTTGAATGCATTTAACTATAAAGCCTTGTTCTCTGATGAGACTCCATGGTCTGAGTACTACTGTTGTGATATTTAATTGAACACAAGTTCCAGAAAGGGAGTCATTTAAACTGAAGGAAAGATGATTACCAAATAGAATAGGGTGATATTTTGAGCACTTTTCTGCTGGCAAGAGAAATGGATTTGTAAAGAGCTTTTGTCAAATAGATTCATGAAAAAGGTCATTCAGTTAAAATCAGCAAGTAATTGTCAAATTTGTTTTAATTTCTGATTGTCCAGCATAAGACATCAACATTCATACCTTATTTCCAGGCACAAGCCATCTGAAAAATCAGGCTTTTAAAGGTAGATCAAGCTGTGCGCCTAGAATCAGCGAAGAGTTTTAAAATTCGGGCCGGGCAAAGCAGTCTCTATTCATCTGAAGCTGCAACTTCAGCAGCAAAAAATGGTTAAGGGGCAGGGAACACTGGGTATCCTCACCAAGATGATGCTTCATGGTGCCAGCAGTGCCTTGGCCTTCGTATAAAGAACTCGTGTGCTTCTGCGTGCCCAGCTGCTTCTCCCCTTCACCCTCCTCCAGAGGCCTGAGTGTCCCCAAAGGAAATTTTCAGGAAAGAAACGATGCCCAGAGCAGTTAGTACAGCTGAAATTCCCCCATTCTAGCCTGTCTTCTCCACTGCCAGGGAGCTGGGCTGTGCGAGATGGGGCGTGAAGCAGAGGCAGCGTTTCTGCCCCAGCGGTGCGGGTTTGCCAGGAGTGGATGCTGCAGGGCTTCGGTGGTTTGTGAGATCGATTAGAAACAGCAATGAAAAAAACCTTTAATCGTTTGTAAGACCCCACGTGCTTTTGTTGGATGAAGTAATGAAAGGACAGCAGCAATCTCTAGAAGGTTCCTGTCAGGGTTGGCTATACCCGTGTTTCTGAAGGGCATGCTGTTTTCATTACAAAAAAACTACCACAACCTTTCTCCTGTGTGTTAGATCTAATAAAGCTTGCTCTCTTTTTTTGTTTTGGTTTGGTTTTTTGTTTTTTTTTGTTGGGGGGGGGATTTTTATTAATTTCAGGAAAGAAAGGGCAGCTGGTCCCTGATGAAAGTCTTTCTGGTTTGTCTGCTGGCCTGTGTAATCACCACCGTGGTAGGAGTGCTGGTCCTGTCCTTGGTCTACGTAAACAGCCCTGCCTTTATGAAAGGCACGGACATTAAAGACGGTGGTGCCTCTTCCCCAAACCCAGGGGAAACGAGCGTGGATATCAAATTCCGGTTCCTGAATCATCTGGGGAAATCAAAGGTAAATTGTTCATCTTGTGCCATAAGTGTCTAGCCTCATATATAGAAGTTTAATGTCCTAATTTCACCTAAGTATTTTTTAAGCATTAGGTGATCAGTCTAAACCTGTTATCCAGGGTTCTTTTATAATCCATGGGGAAAGACACAAGCTTCCTGCCAGCATTTCTCTCCAATCCATAACAGATGTTGGAAATGGGGTGGACCTCTGGAGTGCCTCTTGGAGAGCTAAATATTTGCTCCAGCAAATCAGGCTGGCAAGACCAGGCAACCATTTCATGCGTGATTCTGAAATTACAGAGTATGAAATTCTGAGAAACAAACCCAGAAAGATCAGATTGGAATGTGAGCTGAGAAGCACACTAACCTTTTCTTTCTTAGGACTGGATTCAAACAAATCGTGTTGCAAGAAAAAATGAACTCTCTGATCTTGTTTCAGTGAGCTAAAATAAATTAGATGTCAATGTAAAGCAGCCCTGGGAATGATGTCGGTTTTGTTTAGGTGTATTTTGATACTTACAGAAACATATGCCTCGAGCAAAGTCTAAAGACATACTCCATCTCCTAAATATATCTTTATATAAAAAATAATTCCTGATTAATGGTTGCTTTTCAGCAAAAGAGGGGAAAGGACAGATTAGGGAGTAGGGCAGTCCAAACTGACAACGGCCGTTCTGGTACTTTTTCATGTTGGATTTAACTATGTAATCAATTTTCAAACAAAAAATGTTTCTAAGAATGCGAACAGAAGTGTTTAAGAGGAGAGTAACCCTTTTAATATGCCCTTCCTCAGCGCATAGATGATTCTTTCAAGTACAAAACATGTTCTAGAGGCAGTACAAATATTGGGGAAGGAACAGTTTCAGGTGCAAATAGTTTGCTGCCATAGAAATTCAGGAAAATGTCTTACTCAGGAAACGTTCTAAATGGTTTGAATCGGAAAGATTAAGCGTATATGTGACTGATTTCCCAAATCAAAGTCCAGAATGGTGTAAAAAGAGGAGGAGCAGGTGATTTTGTTCTTGATATCACTGTTTATCGCTCGTTTGTAGAAACAATGCTATTACATTGCAACTTGAGAAAGTATATACAGGATTGTGAAACGTGGCTAAAATACATACAGAGAGAATCCTCGCTGAGAGAAGGGATCGGTCCCTTCAGTATTGCCCAGGGCAAGAATCTTCTGAAACATTTTTGGGTGATGTGATCCCCACTGTCCACAACTAGCTCAATTCTCCACTCTCGCTAACTTTACAGGTACATAACTACCCAGGTGGTGAAATTCAGTGGGCAAGATTCAGGAAGGATGTCAGTGAATATCAAAGTGATGAAGAAATGGAATTTGGAAAAAGTATCAATAACCATCGCTCCAAAATGACTTTTGGAACCTTGCGGATCAAAAGCCAAGGGCTTCGGGCTCCCCACTGGCATTTTAATGCCAATGAGCACGGCTACCTGCTACAGGTATTATCTGATTATTTGAGCTTTCCCAATTGGTTTTGCAGTTTAAAGCATCATGTATATATAAAAGGTGTACACATATATAAAAAAATTACTTATACTTTATATACAAATGTTAACAGGTAATAAAATTACCGTTGATTGATGTATGACCTTAGTTTTCTTGCTTGAAATAACATTTTCAAACGGAGGCTCTCGAAATAGGCTGTTTAAGGTCGGTACTTGCAGGAGTACCAAACATCTGTAGCTTCCCATGATGTCTAAAAACTGAGGTCAGAGGGGACTTCGGACACCTGGAAGTCACAGAGTTTTCTGTACTTATGCAAGTGCTTGCAATGATCAAAGTCATTTCGTTAGAGAACCATCGCAGCATCACAGAGATGAAGGACTTTAAGGTTCCTAAGAAAGCCTCTGGCTCCATCCCCTGTATTGGCAGGGTGAGAACACCTAAAGCATATCTGGGAGTTTTGTTCAGTAGTTAAAAATTTTCAGCAAAGGATGAAAATCTCCCGTGGTTCATCACACAAACCATTAGAAAGTTTGTGCTGGTACACAAACCACATTTTTGTTTATTGCCAAAAAAAAAAATAAATCCCAATTTTTCCTTGTTTATCTCCATTGGCTGCGGAGACCCTATGATCGTTCTCACAACTTTTTATACATGCAAGACCGTTTTGTTCCCATACAGTCTTCTCTTTCCTTGACCAAATACCCCTCCCTTTTCCTCCTCAAATAAATCCTCTTTGAAAAGCTTTGCCCCATCTCACCTGAGTGTCAAATTTCAAAACTGTGAAAATAAAGAAAATAAGAGCTAAATAAAAACTCGCCGTGAGGAATTCAAGAGAGTGTGTTAATTTGAAAACAAAATGATCTTTCTTTGGAAGCATAGGTACTTAGATATGTCTCAGTTAGCAATTTATTTCTAAGAACAATTATTCGTATTTTGATCAGCATAGAACTGAACAGCTCCAGCTGGATGGGGGATCCTCCTTGGAGTAAGACCTTCCACAAACACCTGGTCCTCATTCCAGCAGTTTTTAGTCAAAGATGGCTCCTTCATATCTGTTGGCAGCCTCTTTAATAAGAAAAGGTTTAAGTATGAGCAATGTGTCTTTGTCACGTGTTCCCTAAACCTTCTGAACCGTTGTCTCTTAAAATGCTCTTCTGGATTTAAGTTCACAAAGGCTTGTTAGTGCATCAGGATCTGTTTTTTTCCCCAACAGCCTGCGGGTTATTTGAGTTACTGATTTGCCACGTGTGGATTAAATGAGGAAAGTTCCACAACGACCATTAAGTTCTGATCATGTTACAGGGTTCTGCCTGGATTGGAGTGATCGGTGCCGATGACAGCGTGGTGACCGTGTACAACGTCACGGCTGGTCAAGTGATCTTCTTCCCTCGGAACACGGTGCATTGGATAAAGAATGTAGGATCAGAAGACTGTGTGTTCTTGCTCTTTTTCACAACACATGAAGAACTTCAGACCTTGGACGTAGACGACGCGTTTTTCTCTACCCCAGAGGATATAGCAGCTAGAGCACTAAAGGTTGGTGTGATAGCCAGCCTCTATCTAGTCTTCCACATGTTCACGTGCCAATCCAGGCTCTCTCTCTCTCCATTTTGTGGAGGATCCTCCCTACCTCAGCTGTTCTTTTTAGTCCCATCGCTGCAGAAGGATGTACACACGTCCTTTGTGCCGCCCTCTGTGTTCCTCTGTACACAAGGAGAAATAAATGATGGTGCTCTCTCCAAGAAACTTTTTCTCCTTTTCATGGAGGATCCTCCAAGAGTGGAAGGGAAAATAACATAACGAAGCCCAAAGCTAGTTTCCCAGTGGCCCCCTTGATGAATTCTGTGGTATGAGAAGCTCTGACAGGAAACCATAGATAAGTCCATCTCCTTGTTCAAACGGGTCATATTTGAACCGGCTAGAGGGCAGTGTCCCCGGAGGAAGAATAGAGCCACGGAGCCTCTGCTGAGTCTGAGGAACTGGCGTGTCCAAACCGCAGAATCGTGATAGACCTTCCCACCCTGAAACGGTTTGGTGGGAGACAGGTCGAGTTTCCCTCCTGCTCCAAACCTCTGTGGTAACTGAGAAGGAAGGGCAAAGGAGCAAGGTAGAGCACTGGCGGGGCGAGGCAGTTAGAGACGAGGTACGTCCCCGAGGCAGAATGCGTCTACTGCCAGGTACCAAGGAGGGATATTCAATGAAGCAAAACTTAAGTTCCGCAGTTTTGACAGGTGTCTCTGTCAACTTAATCTGCATGGTGTGTCCCACAGCCACAAGGTGGAGTTAACTTCATCAGGACGTTCAAGAAACAAGAAGAAGATCAAGCAGTTAACCTCCCGCCAAACTTGGCTGAGCTTGTACAAAATGCCACCTACGTGCAGTCTCCGGACAACCTCGTGTGGCAGTACTTCTACAACCTCAAAGGTACGCTTGTAGGCACTTTGGATGCGAGAGCGCTCCGTGTTTCTAGAGGGGGAGAGGAGCGGGTCTGTAATCGATGCACTGAGACAGGCGCTTAAAAGTGTATAGAGAAATGATACGAGTTGAAGGGTGCAAAATGAAAAAATACATTGGTCATACATCTAATTACTGCCCTTTGAAGACGATTCTTACCTCAGAGTAGCTCGATTTTAGCGTTTCTATCTGCAACAGTAGGCGTGAGAGCAGAATGCTGGTGCACAGCAGGGCATGGACTAACTGCTTCCCCGCTCAAGGTTCTCTGCTGAGCTGGGTAACCAGGACTGGTGTGCTCTCTGCTGCCGCCCAGTACAACTTCATAACCAGCACTGAACCATATTCACTGTTTGGTTGATCAGCGATCGTGTTAAACCACCCTCGGTGCAGCCTGGATCTGGTGAGGTCAGTGAGCACCCAATAAACACAGAGGTCACGGCTGAATTCCAAGCAGTACAGTCTACTCAAAAAGCTCTAAAAACCAACGGTAGGTCCAGAGGTCCCCACACAGCTGGTGGAGGTCCTGAGAAGCAGGTGTGTCACAAAGGTCTTTGCGCTTGGACCAAAATGTTCTTCTGCCTCAGCAGCTCTTGACCAAATACTGTGACACACGGCCGGCGCCGCGAAGGTTAACGGGAATTAATAGGGTGGAAGTTTGCGTCTTCCTTCAGTGTGTTGTTATCGGTTGCAATTCGGGATGGAAAAAATCTAGTCGGGGTTTTTCACGATGGTTATCGGACCACAGAAAAATACAGAGGTTGCGCCGTGTCTAGTGCAGGAAGGACAGACACTCTGAACGGACTTGCTTTTTGGTTCTAGAGGCTCGTAAGATGCAAGGCCTCAACGTTTAGCACGTCGGAATGACTTGAAGCTCACCAGCGACGATAACCAGACCGTGTCGGAAACGCTCATTATCTGTCTTTGTTTTAGGGTCAGCGGAATATCCTTTCCCAGGAGGAATCTTCCAGTGGGCTCGCTACCGCATAAATGGCACTGGCCTAAATGAAACTGAAAAAATCTTCAGTGAGTCGCTGAACAAGGTATGTGCTTTCAGCTGGATAGTTTCGCTCTTTACACGTAAGGCGCAGCACGCGACTGCGGTGGGTTATCGCTGCCTTGTCACGTATAACAGGGATGTCACAAACCTGGATGGTTTTCTGAACGTTTTTGTTCTGCTTTTCAGCACGAAAATACCCTTACCTTAGCAACTCTGAGGATATTCAGCAACGGGCTGGGGCAGCCTCATTTCCACTTCAATGCTAATGAGATGGGTTATGTCATTAGCGGCTGCGGACAGGTAATTTGTTACGTCGGCGAGAGATTAAGTCAGCGGAGCTTTGGCTGTAAAACAATTACAGACCTAATAACTGATTCCCAGCCCTGATTAATGACACTACGATAAAACTCGCGGCGTCCACGCTTTCCTTCGCCACACAAAGTTCTGATCTCAGCTACGTTCGCGGGAGCCCGTCTAGTCAAAGCGGAGTCCTGCAAAGGGCAGAATTTGCCCATCTTGTTAAGTCCTCCCGCGAAATCGCACGCCTTTATCGCCGGCATCTCCGCTCCCCTGAGCGCTGGGAGTGTTTCGCTCAGCGCAAAGATAACCGAGATGGAACGGTGAGGCTCCGTAACGCGCCATGGTCTTACTCAGGGCTGTGCCTAGGACCCCTCTGCCTCTTCGGAGCGGCAGTGCAAGCTCTGATGCCACGCTAGCCCTCTGCGGCGCAGTGCCGGCACCGTCGCTGTGTATTTATCCGGGAACAGCACACCGAATTGTGCCGCCGCTGAGTATTTCTGCTTGATTTGGCACAGGTTGGAGTTATTCTCTCTGGAGACACCGCCAACTTCGACATAGGCATTGGAGACGTCATATTTTTCCCCGTCGGAACCCAACATTATATCAAGAGCGTGTGTGATGAGGATTTGCTTTTGATTCTCGCCTACAGTACAGGAAACCAGGTGAGAATTCCTACGGGCGAGGGGAGTGAAAAAATGTGCGGCTGTCCATAATCTTACGCTTTCCTCACGCATGTCAGCTTTGTGCTTCGGTGGGCACCTTCTGAAAGAAATTCTAAGAATAGGTCCAGTTCGCTGGCAGCACAAGTTCCCCTCTGGGGTGAACTGGTACGCGGAAAGGGGAAGTGGGGAAGCCAAAGCAAAGGTCTGTGGTGGGCTGTGACATGCTCCCGCGCGTGCGCCTGTGTGTGAGAGGTGGAATTCGGATCCCGTTCGTGCGTGAGGTCCTGTTGGTGTCGAAGAGACGGAGCTTGTCCCTGGGCGGACTGGACGGGCTGAGGGTCTTCACAAGCTGCGCCCCCACAAAAGGGGGAGGTCTTCGTAGGCCTCGAACCCGCCTGTAGCCCAGGAGCTGGAGCCAAGGGTGTTTCCATCTAAGGTTACACGGAGCCAGCGGCCTCGGTAGCCCAAAGACTTGTCCTCAGTTCCATACTTTTACATTAATTCATTATCTTCTGGGCTTTGAGGTGCGCTCTCATATTCCATGTTATTAATATTGTAAGAATGACCAGGTAGCTATGATTGTTCTTTTTAAATCATTGTCTTTTGTCTTCATAGCTGGAAACTCTTCGGATGAATGACTACTTCCGTTCAACGGCAGATCATATCCTTGCTCAGCTTTTTTTCAAGAAACAGGAGGAGTTTAAGAAATTCCCCCAAAATTAGGCAAATAACCTCTCTTAACGGTTAATGGCTCGAAGAATTTTTTTCACAATCACCGCGTTTCTAGCAGTACCTTTCGGTACCTTTCTCGCTATTTGAGAATTTGGGGATATTAATTGTATAAAGTTGTTTTCTTTTTGTATTTTTATCATGGGTTATTTATAGTGCAACGTAACTTGATTGATTGTATATTAAAGTAAATTCTACCATGACAATTGCCTTTTGCTCTGTATGACACCCCTTTCCCCGCCGCATCTCGTCCCTGAGGTTTACGCTGATTTCCCGTCAGGCAGCCAGCGCCCTCCTCCAGCAGCGTCTGTACACAAACACCGCGTGGCCTCAGCGCTCCGCCTGTCCCCGAACCAGGTATCGCGTTCTGAGCCCTGCGGCCAGCACCGACGGCCAAAAAAGAACCAAAGATGATGGCCCAGCCTGACATCTCTGCCGGGTTTTTTTGGGGACCCTCACGTTCCCGGTCCTTCTTGTGTAAATATTTGATTACAGCCAACAGGATGGCTGCAACAGGGATCAAGGAGAGCTTTCTCTGTTCCCTGTGGGTTAGAGCAGTTTTGGGGTTGGGTTTTTTTGTGCCTCAGGAAATACTTGCTTAGTTCCTGGGGTTTCAATCAAATCAGGATCAAAGTGCTTTATGACCAACACATAATAAATGAGGATTCAGTGAAATCTACAGTTGGGATTCAATTTCATCCCTTATCTAGGCTCTTGGTAATCCCCTGGCTACTCTTTAATCTGCCCGAAGGTCATTTTCCTCTTCAGCTTTATCAGTTTGGGGCAAACATCCCACCAGCTTGGGGTACTCCACTTGCAGGTGCTGCCACGCTCCCCTTCCTACCGCCCCCGGCCGTTGGCAGAGCAGAGGGAGCGGCTGCGCAGGTCCCTGCACGAATCCCCTCTCAAACACACACCCCGCCGTGAGGGTTTCCCGATGCTCTTCGGCAGCCGCGCTCAGGCTGGGCCTTGCGGACCAGCCAGGAGAGGGAAAGCCCAGACCACGGACCCCAACGGGGCTGAAGCGTCGACCTGTTCGTTGCCTCCAAGAAAAGACAACCTCCTGCGTGTCCAGGAGGAGAAATTTCACCATCACATCATCCACCCGCAGCCCAGTGTTGGTTTTAAAGCCCAGAAATGATGCAAAAAACGGACAGAAAAGGCTTGATGTGACCTAGCTCAGGACACCGCTGTCCCAGCGGGACCTGCCTTGTCCCCTGTCCCACGAGAGCTCACAGGAGCAGTGGTTCTTCTGCACCACGTCCTTGCTGGTCACCACCTTGCCTGGACCCCAGCCTCACAGACAGCTCCAGGGCTGGATAAGCCCTCTAAGCCATGCTGCACCCCAAGGGGCAGAGACCTGGCTAATTATTAGGTTATTAAGTGCTTTCAGGTGTCAGGAGAGAGAACAGGCTGGTTTCTCAGGTGTTGGGAATCAATCAGCTCCAGGCTTTGCTTTAAAACAATTCAGCTGGGACAAGGAAGGTTTAAATGCCGGGTTCTTGATTGAGGTGCTCCTTGGGGGATCCAGAGGCCCCCACCGGGTAGGGGAGGTGCGTTTCTTGGCAGATGGGAAAAGGCGGCTCGCTGAGGAGCGGGGAAGTGGGTTTTGCTCAGCTGTTGTCATGTTCCTTCGATGCAACAACAGGCCAAAAGCTGTGGCCTCTTACCTCAATGGCCACGATGCCTCGTGTCCTCTGCCGCCCCAAGGCGCGGTGTTCGGAAGTTACTTAGAGGAACCCATCAGGTGTTTCAGCGCCTGGCTTCAACCCCCAGTTGCGTGCTCCCAGGGCTGGGTTTGTTGGGTTCTCTCTTGGGTCACTCTTCGGTGTGCTGCTTTTATTCCACATTGTATTTGACTGAGAGCTGCTCCTCGAAATGTACCTTGATAGATTCAGGTCCCTTACCCCGGTAGATGTGACCATCGCCAGGCTGAGGGTCTTTACGAGCTGAGCACCCACAAAAGGGTGAGATCTTTACAAGCCTTGAATAAGCAGAGCAGGACAGTGACTGGCAGTAAAGCGGGGTGATCGTGTTGTTGATGCTAAAATATCTGAAAGTGTTAGAAGCCTGGAATTCCTAATTTGTGTAGAACGATCTTTGTGTGTCCCCAGACCCTGAGAGGCCACAGAAGGGTGCAATTAGCGCGTGCAACGTAAGCCAACCAGGGGAAACGTTTATATCGTACGCTTCATCCGTCTAGTTAGCTCTACTAGCTGCTTCATTAAGACTCACAAGCGGTGGGGTTCAGGCTCTGAGGGAAATTTGGTCGTTCATTTGGGTATAAACACCTTGCCGGTCTGCTTAAAACCCCCTACGCTGCCAGTAGGGTGAGCGCACGCTGGAGAAACCCCTTGGAAGGGCCGTGAAGCGAGGTGCGTCGCGGCCATTTATCACGCCGTAACGAAACGGTCGTTGCCTCGCGCGTCCAAATCGATCAGGTTAACGGCCTGTGAAACACCCTTTCCGAAAGCTGTTCCTGCCCCGTCAGCTGCTGCAGCCGTGCCCTTGTGCCTTCAAAAGCAGGCTTGTGTTTGTGAACACTTTAATTTTGTTTGGGTTTTGCTAAATAGTGTGTTTTTGCAGACATTACTCTTTTTTTTTTTTTTCTTTAATTAACTCTTGGTCTACTAGTTGCAGACTGATCCTCCAGCTGAGCCAAGTGCTTTTTGCGCAGCTGTGGGTGTGCATCCCGGTGGACTGACCTCCGTGTCTGTTTTAACAGACGTGCTGGTTTTAACCCTCCTTTGGCTTCTACTAATACTGATAACCCAGCTCTTCTCACCGTAGCTGCTTTAGGTGTCGGTCAGCCTTTGGGCTGCCATCAAATCTGTCTTCAGCTGACCACAGCGGGACTTAACGCTGCGTTAAATCACGTTTCTTGTCCTCCCTCTAGGGTTCAGAATCCGAGCAAATGGTGCCAGACCCCCAGTTTGTCTGAAGTTCCCTAAACCAGTGAACTTGTGTTAACGCTGAGCCCAGGACCTTGTCTGAAGACCTGAGACGGGTCCAGGTACCCTCTGATTTAGTCCTGCTTCTAGGGCCTGAATCTGCTGCTCATACCATATTTGAAATATAAGAGTAAGATGTGGTGTGAAGCACCGAGATACGTTTATGAGGTCGTAAGGCAGCTCCGTCTGACAGAATATGTGGTTGTTGCTCCACGTTGCACAGCTCTGGACCGCTGTCAGCCCTGTAACTCTTGGTATTATTCCAGTCCATTAATATTACAGCTTTGCAGATAACATTTGGCCCGTAAGAGCAATATATTCAGTGAGTGATGCAATATACTCTCCTTTTTTGCTTTCTCTTTGATCAGTAAATTAACTAGATCTCCCCCCGCCCCCTAGGCCCAACATGAAAGCACTAAGATGCAGTGAGGGCTGATTCCTAAAAAAAGATGAGACTTGCCTCTCAAATCTCCTTTATCTTTTCCAAGCCTTTTTCTTATTTACCCAGAGGGCGATCGGTCAGATTTTGTTCAAAAAAAGCTTTTCCAGCCATGAAGTTCCTGAATTGATGTGGGCGAGTTGGGCTTGAAATGCGTCTGACCATCGGTGCTGAGCTCTGCCCAAAGAGATGAGGACGAAGCCTCTCAGCTCTGAAGAACAGAAAGGTGGAAAGCGACAGGAATTGCAGAAGTTCACCGGATCTGGTACAGGGAGCTTCTCGCATTCAGTTCTGCTTTCCTTTTTTCTTTCAACTCTCACTCAAGTTCGAGTGATTTGCGTTCAGGCGACAGGAAAGCAACCAAATTGAGAGAATTCTGCTCGGGCTTTTAGTTTCGGTTCCTACTTTCAGTTTGTGGTGGTGCTGCTTTGTCACCCACCCATCAGGAGACGTTCTGCGTGCCGGGAGCAATGGCCGGGAGCCACGAGGGCGCCGCGTGACGGGGGGCTGGAGACGCGCTCGCCGTGGGCAGCGTGGATAGGCTGGGATGGCAACTGCAGATGTGCCACGCGCAGCTGCCTCCTCAAGTCAAGGCCTCTATTGCAAGATCAAAACCCGGGGAGGACCCTCATTTTGGTCCCTGGGAGAGCGGGAACGTGGCAGCTCTGGCTTCCTCGGGATATCCCTTGCAGCACAACAGGGTGATTGAGCTGAAACCAGAGGTGTTCTTCAATGCAGTAAGTCCATTCCCGGCCGGGCTCTGAAAATAACGGGTTGTTGAAAGAGCGGTACTGAAAGAATAAAGGCTGTGTTGCATCCCATGAGAAATATGAATCACAGCAGGTAATATTTCTTACCTTAGAAACTATAGAGGGGTATTCAGCAGAACGGACCTCAGCATCTTTGGGTCATTACGATCAGGAGCACGAAGCACACAGGGCACTTACCAAATCAATCCAGCAACTGCCTGGTGTGACCCATTGGCGGGGCCCCGCTACCACAAGGGGTCCCGCCGGGGCTTCGCGATGTTTTCCAGCGGGTGGTAGATCAGCCGCCTGTTGAGGAAGGTTAGACATTTTAAAAGCCATTTAAAGCATCTCTTTAGCCAAACCTGGAGATTCAAGCAGCCCACCCTCCCTGGGCGCACGAGAGAAGTTTATTCAGAATAAGTCGTCTCGTGACCCGTTTAAGTGACAAACCCTGACGCGGTGTGAGCCCTCAGCAATCCCCGGGGTGGGGGGAGAGTGAAGCTTAAAGTCTGCTCGAAGGTGGCAAAGCTCAGGTGGCCAACATCACGCTAAGGGGTGTTTATAGCAGAAAGTACAATAGGGTTTCTGTAACCAGCTGCCATAAACCGAAAGGTCCGTGTACCCTGTAAAAACACTCCAGGGTGTTTTTTGCTTGGGAGGGTTTATCCTTTGTTAACGTTGTCGTTAAAGGTGTGTGTTTTACAGCCCAGCAGAGCTTTGCTCTCGATGGAGTTTGACCAGTTTCCTCCTACAGAAAGGTATTTGGGAAAAATCGAGGGCAGCGAGAGGTGAGCACAGGGCTATTCGGAGGCTTTCAAGCTCCTTGAACCCACCGACCGTTCGTGGCTCGGTGCC